GGACTCTTTAAAGTAGAGACACTACATACTGATATACACCTGAACATCAGCATGAGAGGACTCTTTAAAGTAGAGACACTACATACTGATATACACCTGAACATCAGCTGGAGAGGACTCTTTAAAGTAGAGACACTACATACTGATATACACCTGAACATCAGCAGGAGAGGACTCTTTAAAGTAGAGACACTACATACTGATATACACCTGAACATCAGCAGGAGAGGACTCTTTAAAGTAGAGACACTACATACTGATATACATCTGAACATCAGCCGGAGAGGACTCTTTAAAGTAGAGACACTACATACTGATATACACCTGAACATCAGCCGGAGAGGACTCTTTAAAGTAGAGACACTACATACTGATATACACCTGAACATCAGCAGGAGAGGACTCTTTAAAGTAGAGACACTACATACTGATATACACCTGAACATCAGCCGGAGAGGACTCTTTAAAGTAGAGACACTACATACTGATATACACCTGGACATCAGCAGGACAGAAAATAAAATATGCTATTTTTTTATGTTATATATATATATATATATATATATATATATATATTTATGTATATATATTTATGTATATATATTTATGGCGCACCGTTGGAGGAGCTTGGGAGTTGAGATTCTTATTGCAACAGCTGCTGATGTAATAAAGCATTTAAATCTGCTTTGAATCGAAAAGAGCCAATCATTAATTTTCCAAAAATATATATGTGATTGCACATTAAAGGGTACATCTAAACCGTAACTGCTTCTGTTATTACATCTCATCCAAAAAGGTAGAGATAAAGATTTGCTTCGTCCTTCGAACATTTGGGGGAATTGGAGAAGTTCATCTTTGACTTTGTTTAAGTGGCGTTTTGCATCTTGTTACCTGTAATAACAGTGCCCTCTCCGTCAAAGGCAGCTCATTGTGGAATAGCCTCCCAACGGAGATACGGGATTGTCCCACTCTCAATAGCTTTGAACACTTTATATATCTCTTGTATCTTCTCCTGCACTTGATATGTCGTTGCTGCTACATTGTACTGCCATGTGCTACATTCTTATCTATGCTGCTCATGCTCTTTCTGCATATCATGTATTTATTTTTGCTATGTTTATAAATGTCATGTTCTTAAAAAGGTCCCATGTCCTGCTTCTCTGGTTCTGACCCGTTCCCTTGTGTGTTATGAAGGTTTGCATGTGACCGGTCTGCAGAGTCTCAAACCCTCAAAGTGCGTCCTGTAGGGAGTAACACTCTGACTCAGAGGAGACCCGTCTGTGCTGCCAGAACGCCTCGATGGACATTCCTCTTTTTCTTCCTGGTACTAAGTGACGTAACGACGACCCAAATGGACCAATGGGTCCATTTGGACCAATCCGGAGCCGTTACGTTAAGGACTTCCTCACTATCAGAGACAAGAGAGGAGGAAAGGAGGAGAACAACAAAGTGTAAAAAAGTCAAACAAATCTGAATGATTGCCCCGAGCTCTGCCCGTTTGCCCCCCCCCCCCCTCAAATTTGTTTATTATTATTTTTTAACCACAAGCCGTTATCGTCACGGGAGAAGGACACACAGCCTGCCCAGGTGGGCGCGCAGGAAACACGAACGTAGCGTGCGCATTGTAAAAAGAGCTCACAGTGAGCGGTTTGAAGTACAGTATTGAATTTGACAGAAAACATCAATGAAACGCAGCAGAAGGAAAGTCGAAAGAGTTGGGTGAAAGAAAGGACGGGAGATGTGAGTGGGTTCATTCAGTAAATCAGCTCAGGATAATTGGATGTTCTGTCTGCACCTGTTGTTGTGAGGCTAATGCAGGATTTGTTAGCTTGATGCTACCGGCATTTAGCGGCAGTGACTCAACAAATGGCCTCTTAAAATGTATCGTCAGCAATGTGTGACAAGCAGCTTGTTTAATGTTAGACTCCATATGATCAGAACACGATGCTTTCATATCAGAGAGCAGATGAGGTGGAGCGGCCTCCAGCAGTAGAGGGTGAGGCAGAGAGCAGCTGCAGCTATGTTATGTAGTCAGGTGATTTGATGCATCAATGAAAGGAAGAAGTGATGCATACATGAGGAGAAGGAAAAACAGTTTGAATAAAAGTAATACAGCAGTGTACTGTATTACTTTTTAATGTACAATTACTTTGTTACTGTACGATATCAATAACAATAATCCACAGCTCCTCTCTGCTCCGTTGGGGGGGGGCACCCTGCCGAGGCAGTAAACCTAAGTGAAACACTGAGTGAATACACATACCACCAGAGTTCCCGTTAGAATAGTTTGTTGCCGGTCAACGTGTCCGTTAAAGTTTAAATCTTCCGGACAAAATCAGAAAAGTTCCGGTCAAAGGTCTTCTTTGTTATTTATTGAGCTTTAAAACAAATTGAGATGATTCGATATTAAACAAATTAATTATAGTAGATTAACTACATTATTCAAAAGTGAACAGTAATTTATAATAACACGAGAATAATAAACGGAGCGCTCTCCCTCTCCTGACAGCCCGTCAGTATCATGCAGCTCGCGGATCAGTAATGAGTGACCCGACAGTGAAACTAAACATATCTATAACTAGTTACGGTAGTTTGAGAGGTCATTAAAATAGCTACGTGTGATATTCTAACCTGAAGTGTGTGTTTTGTTCCGCTCACCGCTGCAGGTGATCATGCAGAGCTGCGTGTCGACTAATATTTTAGACATTAGAATGGACTATTCTTGTCTGTCACATAAGTGGCACAACTGATGCGGTATTGCGCTGAGGGGAAATTATTTTTGACCGGAGAGATTTAGATTTGCCGGTCTTCAGCATATTGATGATGTGGTTCTGATGGCTTCATCGGTCTGAGACCTTCAGCACTCACTGGATCGGTTCACCACCGAGTGTGAAGCGGCTGGGATGAGGATCAGCACCTCCAAATCTGAGGCCATGGTTCTCAGCAGGAAACCGATGGACTGTCCACTCCAAGTAGGGAATGAGTCCTTACCCCAAGTGAAGGAGTTCAAGTATCTCGGGGTCTTGTTCTCGAGTGAGGGAACAATGGAGCGTGAGATGGGCCGGAGAAATCGGAGCAGCGGGAGGGGTACTGCAGTCGCTTTACCGCACCGTTGTGACGAAAAGAGAGCTAAGCCAGAAGGCAAAGCTCTCTGTCTACCGGGCCATTTTCGTTCCTACCCTCACCTATGGTCATGAAGGATGGGTCATGACCGAAAGAACGAGATCGCGGATACAAGCGGCCGAGATGGGTTTTCTCCGCAGGGTGGCTGGTGTCTCCCTTAGGGATAAGGTGAGAAGTTCGGTCATCCGGGAGGGACTCGGAGTTGAGCCGCTCCTCCTTCGCGTCGAAAGGAGCCAGTTGAGGTGGTTCGGGCACCTAGTTAGGATGCCACCTGGGCGCCTCCCTAGGGAGGTGTTCCAGGCACGTCCAGCTGGGAAGAGACCAAGGGGTAGACCTAGGACCAGGTGGAGGGATTATATCTCTTCGCTGGCCTGGGAGCGCCTTGGGATCCCCCAGTCAGAGCTGGTTGATGAGGGGAGAGGAACGTTTGGGGCTCTCTGCTGGAACTGATACCCCCGAGACCCGACCACGGATAAGCGGGAGAAGATGGATGGATGGTCTTCAGCATATTTTACCGTCATAGTCCGGTAATTATCGGCTAACGGGAACTCTGCATACTACACAGAGATGCTGTTTGAGACACCAATGAGTTTGGAACATTGAACAATGTAAATCTATTCGAGTAGACCTCAACAATGGAACTATGATCAGTAGAAATGGCCATGGGACCTTTAAATGTTGTATGTGAGGGACTACGGGTGGAAATGAGCTCAAAGCTAAAAATCCAGCATATTTATTACACTTGAAGCATTCTTTGTTTTGGGTGTTCATGAATGTGCATTGTTCCTGCCAAATAAACGATTACATTAAATATATTCGACAGTCTTCTGATATCTTCCTCCCTCATTATGTATATATTTAACTTTAAATGTCTATTTTATTTTGTCTATTTTGAGATGTTTCTATTTTTCTACTCATTTTCTTTTTTACATTATTTGCAAATGTGGTCTTTTAGTTTCATGCAATAAACTTGATTCTGAAATGTAGAAAATATCAATTAATCTCCCAACATGTTTAAAGGAGATTTCCCAGTTAAGGGTTCATTTAAAGGGAAATGAAATATGTCAGACAAACTGCAGCAAATGTAAACCTACATCACTTCTGTAATAACAGTGTAATGGGATACAAATTAAATATATATAAATACACATGTCTATGGTCTGGAGGCGTGTGGCGCAGTGGCCTAGTGCGTTGGGATCAGGGTAGCACAGGTTCAAACCCCACCTCAGTCAGCATGTCCCTGAGACACTTCAGCCCAAAGTGCTCCTGTGGGGATTGCCCTCAGTGTTGAGTATGTGAGTCACTTTGGATAAAAGCGTCTAACAAGTAACATGTAATGTAATGTCTGCACAGCCCTCCACTTTAACATACACTGTTGTCATATGATATGCATTGTCCCAAGTGTTTTAGTTTTAGGCAATAAACTTGATTCTGAAATGTACAAAATATAAATAAATGTCCCTAAATGTTTACATGAGATTCCCCATTTCAGGGTTAATGTAAACCTTAGACAACAAGTGAAATTAAATATGTCAGAGAAACCATAGCACATGTCATGCTACTTGGTAATAAACCCAGTTCTGATCCTGAAAAAAACACTGCAATAGGCGTAAACATGTGGAAAATATCAATTAATTCCCCAAAATGTGATTGCCCATTTAAGGGTTAGTTTAAACATTAAACAACACGTGAATTAAAACCATGTCAGTGTGAGATCTGACGGTTTAAATGTCAACTGTTGTGTCATCGGCAGCAGCTGCTGAGCTAACACCGCTAGCCACCTGCGAGCTAACAGCCCTAACATCACCTCATAAAACCTATAAACATCAAACCGTGGGTTTAGATAAACATGGGGGGAAACAAGGGGAGTTTGTTACCTTTGTGATCCGTTTTAAAGCCATGGTTGTTGCGTCGTGGAGGAGGAGGAGGAGGTGAAGCTAGGTGATGCTAACTAACTAGCATCTAGGCTTGTTAGCTTCTGTAGGCCGGCTAAGCTAAACTGTGCTAACACATACACCGGGTTTCAATACTGACTTTGTTTTAATCTCGTTTGTTTGTCTTGGTAAACTCAGGTGTTGATACTGTATCTCTGCTCCGCGTCAGCCCTTCACTTTAAACTGACTCTGGAATAACGGGACGAGTCTGTCGGTTCTTTTCCAACCCAGTTTAGATTAAACCACGCCCACTTCTGCATTAACGTAACTCTGCGTGATTGCGTCATGGATGCGTAGAACGTAACGTAACACATTTATGTCATGCTCTTGCGGGCTCTGAAGTGAAATGTACTTCTTGCGCCAAAATACATCAGTACAAGTAAATCAGTTTATTTAATTAGCCCAATGTCACAAATTGTGCTTTTGTCTCAGGGGGCTTTACAGTTTATACAGAACATGAATACGCTGCTCTAAGCTTTTCAAATATGTATTGAAGAGAGAAGAGTCCCTGGGTACAACTTGACAGAAAGCTTCCAAATAAAAGTGGGACTTGTAAGAGGAAGTGAAAGTTAATATTATAGCAACTAAAAATATCTTGTTTCCACAGAACACAAGGCTACCGACATGTTGATAGAAGAGATATGAAGAAGTGGATTTTGCATAATAGGTGACCTTTAAATAAAAAAAATTACTTTATTTTTATAGTGAAAGGCTTGAAAACAGTCCTGTAAATAATCATACTAGTACATTAAACGGATCCAGATTAAATAAACAGACTCAAAAAGGGTGTATATATAAAAAAACAACTTTATTTAAAAAATAACAATCAATGAAAAGCCTGTGTTGAACTGTACAGTGCTGGGTGAAGATATAAATAGAGAAAAGACTACAACTCCTCACAGCTCTGGACTTTCTTTCCCACAATGCCTTGCAATAGTCTTATTTTATCAGAGGATCACACTGACATGGAAAAAACATGTTTTAGCAAATCAAGTGTTTCAAAGCATTCAGTGGTGAAACAGACAGAAAATAAATGGGCCAAAAAAACTAAACATTTTTTTCTTTACACCTAAAAGACAGATTTCAATGTTTTAAAGTCATTTTCATTTCCACATGTTTATAAGTGAATATGTGTTGTAATGATTCCTCCTATTCATACGGACAGATACACTCCAGTTCATATCAGACATAGGGTGTCCCACAAATAGTCGATATCCTGCATTTGATTGACAGTCGCCCATCTGAAACGTGGCTTTTATCCGCTTTTATCCAACGTTTTTTATAAAACAAGAGAGGGCGATGCCCATTGGCTGCCTCAGATGTCAATTAATCAGCAGAGACATGTGTTTACTTAAAAGTGTAGTCGCTGGTGCGTTCGTCGTGTGTGTGTGTGTGTGTGTGTGTGTGTGTGTGTGTGTGTGTGTGTGTGTGTGTGTGTGTGTGTGTGTGTGTGTGTGTGTGTGTGTGTGTGTGTGTGTGTGTGTGTGTGTGTGTGTGTGTGTAATGTAAAGCTTTGAGGGGTCGAGAACACCTGATAAAGAGATTTATAAGAACAGTCCATTCACCATTTATTTTAGGGGTTGGACAGACATTATATTAAAATCTAAAGTAGCTCTTAGCAACGCACTACACGTCTTCTTCCCCCCATGTGGCTTGTTGGCACCTGGTCACCATAATCAGGGATAATAAATGTGATATCTAAAAAGGGAATAATCCTAAAATCTCAACATAAATGTGGGCACAACATTTGAACTCAAACTGGACATTTTTACTCGGGACTCTTTAAACAGATCATTCCCAGCCGGTCTGCTGAGGAGGAATCACACCAGCATCCCTTCACATTAACACATGTGAGAGTTATATATTCAAACATGTCTTTACAATCATCTCTCTAGTTATAGCACCTTTCCCCTGAAACTAAACCCTCCGTCTGATGTCCCCGGTCTGTCTCTGAACATGATCCTAAATATCCTCAAGTCATTCAAATCCTGATATTTTCTTATTGTACATTCTTTGGTTGTTGGAGTGCCATCAATACATCTTGAGTTTCTGTCAACAGGTTTAAAAACACATTTCATTAAAAAATAGTTTGTTAAAAAGCTTCCTGATGAGTGGATGGTTTGTGATTATGGGATGGATGTTCAGGCTGTGGAGAGCTCCACTCCGCTGTCACACACCCCGCTGTCGATCTGCACCTCCGCCTTCACATCCTGCACCTGAACCTCACCTGAGGACGAGACACAGTCATGTGATCACTACGGTGCATTCAGGGGCCTCAGAAAAATCAGGATTTATTTTTAATTCACAAGTTAATGGTTTAAAAATAAATGTTTTGAGAAAGAATATATTATACTTTCACATTGTATTATTCATTCAATTAATTCCATTATTGTTATATTTCATATTTCTTTTAATAATTGTGGTGTTATTTATTAAAGATCTAAAATGCTGACTCATCGTGTGATCTCACCTCCGCTCTCATTGGTCAGCTGAGTGTCGTCGTGGTTACGCAGCGCCTCCTCCAGGACGCTCAGCGCTCTGCACTCTCCGACTGACCTCAGACCAGCGAGTAGATCCTGCACCGTCCCACCTGACACCTGCAGGTCAGAGGTCAGAGGAGCACAACACATAATCAGATACAACGTTATTGATCCTCATTGGACTCCTTCGTTTACTTCCAGAACATCGCTACAGAGGGGAACAGACATTTAACAAAACACCACAATCACTGAAGAGAACACGCTCCTCTATCGTACATTAGATGCAGGGTTTAACTCTGCATTTAACTTGAGGAATGACTGGTGCACGACCAAGCCCCCAGGAAGTGCTCCGGACTCTGAGGTAAATGTTCCTAGTGGCCAAACGGCGGTACTACAACTCCCGTATCAGTCCGTGACGTCACTGGGACAGAAAGACTTTTTCCCATTGAATCATTCGGTCCTTAAAGTTGTAAAATGCACTAAAAGCCGAATCTAGATTTATTTTCTCTCTCCATTCATTCTATTGAGCCGAGAGCGGGAGATCGGGGGTGGGGCTTAATGACAGGAGGTGGGGCTTAATGGTAGGGGGTGGGGCTTAAGGAGAAACTCAACTCTGCTCTATAATCTCTGACAGCAAGGCGTGATGGGTAATTTGTGACGTTTTACTCATTCACCCATTTTGTCTTCATGAGCCAACGAGCAGCTCTCATAGGAAAGAACAAGCCCCGCCTCCAACGCTGGATCCAGATCTTATTAAACATCCAAGATTGGACTCCTTTGTTTACTTTCAGGACATCACTACGGAACACTCGCGCTCCTATTGGCTAGCGCTCCAACACATTGTACGTGATAGGCTAAGGGGCGGGACATCTCTAAGCTGGTTGACCAATCACAGAGTTGCTACTGTTTTTCACTGTAACAACAACTAAACAGTCACATGAAAACAGTGTGTCTGTATGTGTGTGTGTGTGTGTGTGTGTGTGTGTGTGTGTGTGTGTGTGTGTGTGTGTGTGTGTGTGTGTGTGAGTGAGTGTATGTGTGTGTGTGTGAGACCTCGTAGCTGTCCAGCAGGGTTTTGGCGGGGGAGGGGCTCAGCCTGAAGGCCATGTTGAGGATCCCGAGGCTCAAACTGTGAGCCAGGTTTTCCCAGCATCCTTCACTCTCCAGCGCGTGACACACCTGCTGCTTCACCTGCACGTCCAGACTCGCCAGGTCACCTGCACACACACACACACACACACACACACACACACACACACACACACACACACACACAAAACACACACACACACACACACACACACACACACACACACACACACACACACACACACACACAGGAATTAATACAGCAAATACAGGGAGCTGTGTGTATTTTATTTTCCTTGAAGTCCATTTCCTAATGCTGTATGCTGAAACTGCTCTCTACAAAACATAAAGACTAATTAAAGAAACGTACATTAGTGTGTGAGTCATAAATAAAATCAAAGTACAGACTAAACTCACCTTGAGGAGCGGTGAAGGCTTTGTGTGGAGACTTTGGTTCATACTCTTTACCATTCAGAAGATCCAACACCTGCAAACACACACACACACACACACACACACAGACACACACACAGACGCACACACACACACACACACACACACACACACACACACACACACACACACACACACACACACACACACACACACACACACACACACACACACACACACACACACACAC